GAAGTATTTAAAAGACATGTAGATGAGGCGCTTAGGGACATGGTTTAGTGGGCATGGGGGTGTTGGGTTGACAGTTGGACTTGATGATCTTAGAGGTCTTTTCCAACCTTAATGATTCTGTGATTCTCCCCATCTCTGTATGCGTTCCCACGTTCCTGGCTGGGTTTTCCAGCGGCCAGGCTCGGTGACTGGCCACGTGATTGCCCTCGTCTGCTGGTGACCAGCCCGGCTACTTGTTTTCCATATTCCCTGGCCATTTCAGGTGCTCTGTGCTGTCGGCCTCGGCAGGTTCCTCCCCAGCGAAATGCAGAGTTCACCTGCTTTTGCTCTGTAAAACACCTACAACCATTTCTTTTAGCATGGCTTGAGGGGGAAAAAAGTCTTGGGACCAATGCGTGGTTTGGAAGGGCATCAAGAGCGCGTGTGCAGGCTCGCTGCCTTCTGGTGTCTGAACGGTGCCCAGGTGCTCTGAGCAAGAGGTGCTCCCCCAGAAAGGCTTCTGCTGAGCTCAGCACTCTGCGCAAAGCAGGTCTTTATGGTTTCCTGTGTCTCGTCTGGCAATCCAGGGGGGAAAAAAAAAAGAGTATTCAGGTTTTTACTCACTTTACATTTATTTTAGATAATTTTAGAAGGGGGGAAGGGAGACTGGCTAACCCATTTCTTTGCCTTAAATATCTTCAGTTGCTTTTTTCTAGCCCAAAACCTCACTTTTTTTAGGTTATAAACTCACACTGTTCTTGCGCTTGAGTTTTGAGCTGTTTTCTGTTGCCCCCAGTTGGCTGAAACCTGACATGGGAAAAAAGGCCAAGCACAAGACACAGATTAAGAAGAAAACATTGAATCCTGAGTTTAATGAGGTAAGGACAGATCTAATTTTTTATATTATTGAATCAACTTAGCCAATTACTGTGTTGTGCGGAGGAGCTGGAAGACAAACTCCCTGAGGTTCGGTTCCTCGCTCAGCCTCCTTTCCCCTTTCTGCACCCAGGAATATTTTAGGAATGACTTTGCCGTGGGAGATCTCACCAGTTCAGTGCTGGGCAGCACCGGTACACACCGAAACCTTCCTGCTGCTGACTCCTTGTCACCCCAGCCAGGGAGCGTGGGTGGGACGGGCATCCCCGGGGGGTCCCACAGCTGGTGCTGCCTTGGTGGGACACCTGCAAAGTGCTCACCTAGATACAAGGGGTGAGCTCAGCTTGTGGGTTTGTGCAGCATGCCGTGATCATCAGTGTATTTTAAATGGCCTCTCACTGGATTTTGGATTCAGGCTGTACAGAGAGATCACTTGCAATTCCTTAACTGCAGTTTTCCAGGTGTATTTTCCTGGGACGCTTGGGGTGACGTGGGTGTTCTCCTTCTGCAGGAGTTCTTCTATGATATAAAACACAGCGATCTGGCCAAGAAGTCATTGGACATTTCTGTCTGGGATTACGACATCGGAAAATCGAATGATTACATCGGTGAGCTGCAAGTCTCTGTGCTCGGGGTGCGGTTTTGATGCCTGGTATAGTGCTTATGGTACGGGAGGGATGCGTAGGTCGCCTGCCCTCTGAGGAACCCCAGCCTGAGCCCTGAGGGTAGGACCACGCAGGGCGCTTGTATCAGGCTTGTATCGTCAAATACAATACACCCGCTGTACTGCCCCATCTCCAGCATCCCATGGGGTCTTCTGTGCAGGCAGAGCAGCTCTGGTTGTTTCCACTATATTTTAAATCCAGGAGGTGGAGAGAAATGCCTCAAATGTGGGGTCTGTCCCCATGGAAGTGATTTACTGGAACCTCAGCATCATCTCCGAATGTGATGTCTCTTCTCCCTTTCTCCCAGGCGGCTGTCAGCTCGGCATTACGGCTAAGGGGGAGCGCTTGAAACACTGGTATGAATGCTTGAAGAACAAGGACAAGAAGATTGAACGCTGGCACACCCTCCAAAACGAGAACCACGTTGCCAGCGAT